AAGATTTTTTTTTAATGTTTGGTAATGCATTTTTTTATAATTTGCCATCTTCAAAACAAAAAGGGTCTTAAAGGAAAATAGAGAATTAATTGAGGTTTTCTATTCTCTGAGTCTACAGTAATGGGGATCAGAAGTTGGGAACAGATTAAGGAGGAAAAAGTTACGTGGTAGGAAATTTGGTTGTATGATGTTTAGTGAAAAGGGATTTGGACTCAGTGAATGTGGGGTTGAGTCCCAGTTCTGCTCTGCTGACTGTGACGTGGGGCCACTAACTTAAAGTCTCTGAATCTCAGCTTATTTATCTTTAAAATGGGGAAAGCAGTATTTACCTCACAGGGTTCCTGTGAGTGTCCAGGAGGTAATGGATTTGGAAATGCATTGTAGGTGATGCAGCACTGTACAAATGGGAGTTGTCACTATGATTGTTTTTGTTGTTAAGCAACACCCACGAGTGCTGTATAAGCTGATAGTATTGTTGTTGTCGTCATTGTTTTGGAAAACTCTTTCCTAGTCTGTGTTGGTTGACCTGAACTTGCAGTTTGGTTGTGAGCTCAGGCTCAAACAGAAGCAGGATAATAGAAAAGAATGAGAAAAATGGAGGTGGAATGGATGCGTGATCCCATGATCACTGGCTTCTTTTTCATTCTCTTATTTTTTTAATCTCTTACTTAACTCTTGCTTTGCTGGGGTTTTCTATGGTCTAGGGGCTGGATTGGAAGTAGGGGTGGGGGAGGGAGAGAAAGGGATGTGAGGAGGTGTCATTTTTCTCAGGATCTCACCATTTATGAGGGAAGAGTCCTTGTGTCAAAATTTCCTTGTTTTGACCCTTTGGCTTTTTTCTGGGCCTTAGTTTCCTCATCTGTAAAATGGGGTGGAAACTGTAAGGTCCCATCTGCATTTAACCTTTTGTAGATCGGAAACCACAGGCATGAAGGAATCTGTCCTTAACAGGAAGACCAGATCAGCAGGTGAGAGGAGCTGGGAACTGGAGCTGACAGAGCAGGAAGTAGGAGGGAGGGACTTAGGAATGCCTGAGGACATGGAGCTCTTTTTCCATAGGTTATTATCTCTGCTTGGGAGAAATATCCCTAACATCTCTTAATTTTTTTGGAAAGAAGATCAGTGGTTCACCAGCACATCCAACCTTGTTTCCTTGCTGGTTTCTAGAAGGAATGCTGCTCTCTTGTGTTTATGCTGGCTCTGGCCCCAGCAGATGCACACAGTGAATACAGTACATGCACCATGTTTTCAGCAGCATCCTTGCACTTAGAAATATAAGCAGCCCATTCCCCTCTTCCCTGCAGGGCCTGGGGTGCTCCGATGCCTTTCCCCTGGTTGCCACTAATGGACACAGCCTATCCCAGCTTGCCTGAGTAAAGTGGGCCAGAGAGGAAGCTGTAGTCACTGCAAGCAAAGCAGCCTGTCCCTGCTGGGCAGGAAACCTACAGTGATGAATGGGGCTGGATGAAGTCATCCTGCTCCTCCAATCAGGCTGCTCCAAGAGAGCCAAGGGCCTCTGCAGATCCAGCCAGGCTGCCGGCTGCTCTCATGTACCTTTAGACAGAGGCTGTGAGTCTCTGGGAGAGGAGTGGGGGGGTGTGAACCGCCCGCTCCAGGCTCCTGTGTAGGCCTCAGTCAGTCTGAATGTTATTGCAAGGTGAGTGGCTTCACCAGGCGAATTCCTCTCCCTCTGCATCCTCCACCTTGCCGTGCCGGGCTCTGGCTTTGTGGCTCCGGCACCTCCTTGCACATCACCTTTCTGCTTCCATCTGAGTGCCTGCACCTTCTTCTTGAGGTTCTCACACCCACCCCCAACAATCCCAGCCTTCTGCCTTCCTGCTACCCCCAGCACTTGCTCAGCGCCCACCAGCTGGCCTCTCCCCACACGCTTTCTCTTCCTGACCTGTGGGTACCAGCTGGTGATGGGAGGGCAGGGCCTCCATCTCTGCACCCTCTCCCCCCAGCAGGGGGAGCTTGGTGAGACCCACTCTTGCCTTCTGGGAAGAAGTACCAGGCAAGGGGGAAATGCCCCCTGACTCAGCCTCAAGGGCCTCTGTGGCAACACAGGCAGGCCCCCGACTTGCTGGGGACCCCAAGGCTCTTTCCTCTCCCCATGCAGAGGCAGTCATAGGGGGCCAGAAATAAGAGACACAGGCCTCTTATTTCCCCTGGCCTTCCGGAGGGGTGGTTTGTTCTTTCTGGGTAGACCTTTGTGACTCTGCCTTTTCTCTCTGGACGGTGCCGCTGTTCCGTAGGCCAAGCCGGGATCATGGAGCCGGCTGATATGGCAACAGCAAAGGTAGGATGGAAATGCTGCCGGCCTCACTGTGCGTAAGTGGCTTCGCTTGGCGAGTTCTGCCTTTGGTTCACTTTTCTGTCCCCTCCTCTCCCTCAGCCCACCTCTCCTGAGCATCCAAGGGCTGTGTCAGAGTGGAGGGAAGTGACACGAGCAGCGAGACCTCAGGAGGGGGAGGAGGTGTCCCACGAAGCACACTCCCCACCTTTGTGTGCTTGGAGTTGGAGCGGGTGGGAGGCCTGGGGCGGGGGGCGGAGGTGTCTGTAGCTTTTGTCTGGACTTTCTCATGTGTCTGTGTGTTTCTTTACCTTTGCCTCATTTTACCTTTCTACTGTCTCTTGGTTGCCCCCCCCACCTTTGTTTTTGGCCTCCTTCCTCTGCTCCTGCCCTGCACTCTGGTGCTTTCCACTAGTGCCATCTGCACACTTTCTTTCCCCCTTCTCTTTGCCGCTTCTTTCCTTCTGCCTGTTGTATAAGGGATGGGTGGGGTAGGTGTGGGCTGGACAGTCTTCAAAGCACAGACTGCCTCTCATCCTGCAGCAGATGTTGGCCTGGGGATTGGTGAGGACTTTGTGTCTGAGTGGCAGATGCTGCCTTGTCCCCTCCCACCGCTCCTCGGACACCCCAGTGGCAGTGCGGGTCTGGGCACCTCCAGGGAATGGGCCTGGGTCGTGTGCCGTGTGAACCCTGTGGGCACGCTAGAGGGCATTCCTGAGACAGCTTTCAGATCTCTCCTGGATCCTGCTTGCAACTAGAAATTTGTTTTTCTGTGTATTTTTCCAGACAAGGAGCTTGAGCCATTGGGAGTGGATGGGGGAACAAACGAGGCCCCAACTCCAGGCTCCGTGTGCAGGGAGAGGCCTGTAGTCCTTGCAGAATAGCTCAGCCCTTGGTTTGGGGGCCTTGCTCTGGCCAGATGGCAAGGTCTCCTTTCTCTCAAAGATGGAAGACCAGATGAGGCTCAAGCTTCTGGAGCAGGTTGGGTACCTGTGTTGTGTATGGAAGAGAGAATGAGAAAGCAGGCCCAAGCAGCAAGCATGCTGCAGGCAGTAATATATTAAAGTGCTTAGGACATGTCTCTGGGAATCACAGAACTGGTTTTCTGGCTTCTTCTCCCACCCGCACATGCTGTGTGATCGCATCCAAGTTACTTAACTTCTCTGGGCTTTCATCTCCTAGTCTGCACAAAGGTGAAAAGTACATGCATCTGTTCTTTTAACCAGCTTAGATCTGTCAAATAGTTTTCTTTGAAGAACGGGGCTAGGGAGAGCAAAACTAAATGAGAACGGGTCTCCTTGGACTCCTTCCCTCCTCATCTCCTCTTCCTCTCCCTTTTCCCTTTTCCACAAACATTTGAGTGCCCACTTTGAACACGGGATGGTGCAAGGTGCTGCACCCCTTGGCAGTGTGCAGCAGCAGCCATGGGAGTAGGCATCTGCAACTGTGTTTGGATCAAAAACAATTTGCTGCAAGCAGTTTACTGTCTGGCTGGAATGCTGTTGTCTGTGATGTCTTTGCTAGGGCTTTGCAAACCTGCTAGTAAACTAGCTCTGAAGTTGTAAGTAGTTTGTTACAACCAGCTGGCTCTCAGGGGGTGGCAGGTGTGAGTTTTCTGGGAAAGGTGTGGTTTGGGAGCATTAGGGAGTTAATCTGTGGCTGCTTTGGAGAAGTGTATTTATGTCTGTATTTGCCTGTGGAGGTAGAAACAGAGACAGCCT